TTGCAGTCAGTCCAATTCCCATGTGTACAGTGACCGTGAAATATTATGTGTCATGGCTCTCTTCGGAGGAAGAAAGTAAAAGGTATTAGACACAGAACTGACAGCCAGGCACAGTGGCTCAAACCTGTAATCCCAGCACTTTGGGAGGCCAAGCTGGGCAAATCATTTGAAGTCAGGAATTCAAGACCAGCCTGGCCGACATGGTAAAACCCCATCTCTACTAAAAATACAAAAATTAGCCGGGCATGATGGTGCATGCCCAGCTACTCGAGGGGCTGAGGCAAGGAGAACTGCTTGAACCCATGAAGCGGAGGTTGCAGTGGGCTGAAATCACGCCACTACACTCTAGCCTGGGTGACAGAGCAAAACTCCAACCCCCCCCCCCAAAAAAAAAAAAAAAAACTATAAGGGGAAGAGGGGAAAAATAAATCTATAAACTTTTTTTTTTTTTCAAAGCCTATCTCAACTACATCCTCGGTTCTTTAAAACATATCTTTAAATATTTAATTTTCACAAAAAGTATTATAGAGAGTCATACATATTTTTAAATATTTAATTTTCACAAAAAGTATTAGAGGGTCATATCTTGAGCTTCTGCTTCCTTGAGACCAAATGGTTCCATACATTAACCAAGTTACATTGTGAATCACAAGTAAGTCCTATTACCATAAAATCAGCTAAATATAAATTGTATGTTTCTATAAACATTTATGTGTAAATGTATGATACAGCAATCATGATCCTTAACCCACACTTTTTAAAAATAATAAAGTAAACCTAATTAATTTCCCATGCAATACACTGAAAGGTACTCATGCTAGCTTCCCAAAATTCACATAAATTATAAACCCTTTGCAATCTGCAGTTCAAATACTATGTGAGAAAACTGAGATGTAGTATGTGTTCTGCATAAGTAAAGACAGTAAACTGGCACATCAGCACTAGAGCTGGCAGTGTTTGGCTGGTCAGTCCCCTGGTTTTCCAGGGTGATAATAGATTTGCATTGATTTAACTTCCTTGTTTGGTCCAGGCCCTTGGAGGATGGCAGCATGCACCTGGAGTGGGCGTCAGCTACAAGAACAGAGCAGAAAATGCAAAGCTGACTGTCTCACCTGGTGACTGACTGACTGAATGGTCATGAACGTGGTCTCCATTTGTTTAGTTTCTCACCAGCTGAGCTAACTCACCTTTAAGGTTGAATTACACAAACCAGCACAGCATTACAGAGTTTTTGTTTTTCTTTTCCAAAGAAACATCATTATTAAATTTCCAAAATATTTCCTATTATAATATATTATAGACTGATAAAATTGTTATAAAAAATCATTTTGAAAACATTTAAATATATTTGGGGGGTTAAAACACCGCAATTTTTACCCTGAAGAGCCAAGACTTCCAGAGATGGAAAAAAGAAAAGAAAAAAAAACATGGTAATTTTTAACAAACTGTAAGTAAAATTGAGAGCAAACTGAAGCATTTGCTCAAACAGAAACAATAAAACAAATTCACCAAAGCAATTGCCCTTTTTTATTAGACATGAGGATTTCAAAGGCCTCAAGGTAGGCAATTAGTAATGCCATCATCTGGCAAAAAAAAAAGCACCAGAAGGGCAATCTAGAACCCTGGGCTTTTGTCCTAGTTGTCATTATATAACATAGTAAGCCACAATTACCAGTTACTTCATTTGTAGAGTGGAAAGCTGAGCTTGACACTTCTAAGAGCCCTTCCAATTTTGAACTACTAATAACTTGTATTCTTGTCAAAATGATATAAATCGTAAACATTTTTTTAAATCTAGATTTTTTTTAACCCGTGACAAAGAGCTGCTAAAATGTTCTAAGATAAAATAAAATGAGCCTGACTTTTGAAACAAAAGTCTCTAAGAGTAACAATGGGAAAATAACTATACAAAACATCCTCAAGCTGTTTTTCCTCATCTAAAATGAGACAGGATTGCCTAGACAATGTGGAATCTAATTTCTTAAACTAATTATTTCTAGTTCAGCACTGCAGTATTGGTGCAAGATTTTAAAAATACATTGTCAAGGTAATTTTCATATATCATCTAGAAATACAACTTACTCCCTTTCCTCTCCTTTACTGTTAAAAATCCTTGCACAAGTGTAAAAGTGAAACCAGAATTTCATCTAATAAATGTCTATCTTCACTGTATGGTGCTGCTATGAAACCTGGATGACTGAATTTGGGAGCAGGAGGAAGCATGTGCAAAATTGTTTTTAACCCTGCAAATCCTCACGATGTCTCCTTTAGTGTAGTCTTGAGAGAAAAATTAAAATGGAATGCAGAAATTATATGAAAGAGTCACAGTCTAGAGTTGCAAAGCCTCCAGGTCTTCAACAAGGTAAGCCTCGTTTTAGAACATCAAGTCAAAGGGACAGAGTAAAACAGAATTCCTAAGGAAACAATCTTAGTTATCTCATCTGGACCTTCTTTTTTACAGCCACTTTAATTAAAGACAGAAAACAAAGATATGTTATTTCTAATTAAATACTGAGATGAGCATAATCCACATTTACTGCCAATCAAGGTATTTCTAAAGGATGTATTATTTGTGATTTGCTCATTTATTTCAACCAGCCTTCTCCCCAGCCCCTACTCTTTTTCATTAAAAAAATCCTATTCATTAAAAAAATCATATTCAATGTGCTTGAAAGTCCCTTTATTTTGTTAGAAAAATCTATCAGCTCCTGTACAAATTTGCCTTATAGGTTACCATTGAATGCTGCAAACTCAACAGTTATGATCAAAGGGGGCAGTTATGATTCAGGGGCAAATAGCTGTATTATCCTAAAATTTTTGCTACTTTAAATATAAATTTATTGGCTATTTGAATAGCTTTTTAAATTAAGGGATTTATCAAGTCCTTGAACTTCTAAGTATTTTTTCTAACTTTCTTTAAATGAAACTTGTAAAGGATAAATGAAGGGTGTTTTATCTTGAAAATGTTACATTCAGTAATAGAGTACTATCAACTAAAATAACATTTTAAACATGGATACTTGTAGGTTTCTAGTCAATAATGCATTAATAGTAAGAAGAGTATTTAAAATAAACAGACTTGTCTTATTTTTAAATAAAGTGATACTTTTATTTTTCCCATATTCCCTTATTTATATTTCCCATTTTCCCTTGAGATCAAATGGTTCCTTATAGTTATTAAATTTATATGTATTAAATTTATATAGCCTCTATCTTCCAAGAAACTCAGAATGTTTTGTAGGCTTACAGACTTAAAGAGTATTAGGGCTGTACAATATTAATTAGTTGTCAAATAATAACCATTTTTTATCTTAAGAATAAGGTGTTCTTTCTTTTTATTGACTTTTTACTTCCATATTTTGGAGAAGAGCAGAGGAGTGATGTGATGGAAAACAAAGCAGCGCTAGACTAATCAATCTACTGCTTTCCTGGTTCTTAGATAAAGCTCTACTTTAAACTGTTAGATTATCATGTGATGAAGAAACAATTCTTCTCAATAGAGGCTCTATCAGTATTACAATTTGTTTTCTAAAATATCAGCAGACTTACCAACTGAAGTTCATCAACAGTTTACTATGATAGTGGTCATTATTTTCGACAGATTAGAATCTCATTGTTCTTATCAAATCATGGCAATGAGACACTTAAGAATTTCTGATGAACACTGAAACTGCTTGATGGGGAATATTAAGTGCCAAATATTTAGCATTTTCTCAGGTAATTACAGGGTCTGAAATATAACCCTTAAATAATAAACACTGTATTTCACAAAATGAGCCTTATGGAATTTAAGGAATTAAAGCTTCGTATTCTGACTATATAATCTAACCTAAAAAAGGAAAAGATTTACATACTTTTAGTCCAACTTTGAAATTTTCTGAATTTAATTCAAAGAAGGAATCAGCAAAGATTTCTAGAACCTAAAATGCTATCTGATCTTATTTTGTTTATAAAAATATGGAAATGTAGATTATATTTCAAAGATAAAACACTGCAGGACATAACCAGTTCAAAGGAAAAGCAGGCCCTAAGACTTACTGATGCAAGTTTACCTGATACTTTCAGTTAAGCAATAATGGCTACATTTAAGTCGCTTGATATATGAGCTTGAAGATTAGTTAATTTACTTTTCAGCTTAAATTGCAGATAATAAACTGACAAACAAAAGCCTTGTATATTATGGATGGTATCAATTAATGATTGCCTGTATTTACACCTAAATGTGATTTATTCTTCACAAAGGTGTATATACTTCCATTATGAATAGCGTAGCTAAAATCACAATATCCTCAAATTCTTAAACACTGAACTGAAGAACCTATAAAAACTTGAGACATTTGTTTATAGATGTAGACATTTATCTGTGGTTACTTCCTCAAGTTCATATTCAACCATGTCAACTTTTTAAACATATTAGCTGGGTCTCTGATAAAGATCATTTATGTTCCACTTTAAATATTTCTTAAAAATATCCTCAAGAAAACCTAAGTTTCAAAATTTACATTATGACATTGAGAAATGTTTTTTAAATTTATATTTTATATCTTTCAGAATATTCTGTCTTTAAGAAATTTCATCTTTATTTGCATTTGTTTCACATTCTGCTCTAAAAATCCACAGAACAATTTCAAATAGTTTTATTAAGTCAATACTATTGTTTTATGCTAACAGTAATTTCATTAGCCTTGACAAAGCCCCAAACTGGGAACTGTTTATTGTATAGAACACTTCACTTTTACCAGCTTCCTTATGCTGCTGTTACAAAACTGTTTCATAAATAGCATTAACTTTGGGACCATAAGTCTAGTCACATGAATACTCAAACTCTCCATTTCAACACTAAAAGGATCCACCATTTCAAAACGATCTCCCAAGTCTGTTTATATTAGACATTGCTACAGTTTGATTCTCAGCTATGCTAATAATTATCATCTGAACCAAGACTACTGAACACCATTGCCCTTAATCCTTTTTTCAAAGCAGACTTGAACACACTGTAATTCTTTTAAGAATCTTTATTTTTTAACAATTCAGTCTGTTGGATCTCGATGCAGTTTATTAAAAAAAAACAAAAAACTTCAGTACAGTCTCATATAAACTGCAATCAAAAAAGCAATTTAGTTTTTTTTAATTTTCAGAAGTTATCTGAAGTTGCAAGTTATTTTTTGTAATATGCAGAACAGTAAAATGTAAGCATGCTCCTGGATGCAGATGCTCCTGTGTACTATGGAGTTATTTTGAAGAGCTTGCTAACGTCTGCAGGCAGTTTATGGGATGCAATTATTTTCTCCACAACTTAGGCACATGAGAATAAAACTGATAATAAAGTATTTTTCTCAAAAAGTTGAGGCAGCTTTTGTTGAATGCTATCTGTGTGGGTACACTTGCTACACCTTGAACTGTACTAAGAGAGAGACAGACAGCAAGGAGTCCATGTTCATGCTGAAACCTGAAAAACCCCTCCACACGCGTAAGGAGTTCCAAGCAAAAGAGAGTAAAACATTCTACACAGTTGTTCATCGCCTTACGTTAACAGAATACACCAAGAAACTTTACATGACAAGGAAGCAAATCCCCTTTCACTGCTTTTGGTCAAAGTCAGCGGTGTCTATAGAGGATAAAAGTGGAGCAAGCCTAGTAGGGATAAAGCTTAAGTCTACACCTCATGCAGAGTGGTCCTTGGGCTGTCCTCTAATATTTCTCAGACATCCGAGTTAGAACTGAGGTTTGTTAACCTGGGGTCCGCATTGATTTCATATCTGTAATGATACCCTTCCATGTGATCCCTGCAGGCATCTCTGATGTTATGCATCCACTTTTTTATCCCCTTGCGGTTCAGATACAAAACCAGGAGGAAAATAGCGCCTATCAAGGCTAAAACAATACCCAGGAAGACATAAGAGGTTTGCAGGGATGGGGGAAGAATAGGGTCACAGTCCAGGTCAGCACTGTTGAGTTCCAAGAGAACCCGATTCCTCATTTTTTCCGGAAATGCACAGGTGAGCTGGTCTTTGCCTTGCACTACCTCTGTCTCCTTGAGCCAGGCCACCATGTCTACCATGTGACAGTCGCACACCCAGGGATTGTTGTCCAGGAAGACCCTGACGTGGGGCAGACCTTGCAACTCAGCCAGGGTGCCATTGTGAAGGACCTTGAGGGCATTGTCTTCCAGGTGGAGGCTTTCTAGATGTGTCAGGTTGCGGAAGGACACATAGGTCAAGCTTACCAGCGAATTGTTACTTAAGTCTAGGTACCTGAGGCTGGGAAGTTGGGCCACCACGTCCCGCGGCAGGTAAAGGAAGTGGTTGCTGGCCAGCTCCAGGCGGTGGAGCCCATGTAGTGCACCGCCCGCCCGCAGGGCCGCCACCACCATGCCCTCGAAGCTCCGGTTATTCCGCTCATCTTCAGGGGGCACGATGTGGTTCAGGATCAGTTCCACAAGAGGACTGGGGGCCGACATGCTGGCATTGCTGCCTGAGAAAGCGAAGGGGCTGAGGACGGCCAGAGGGTTGTGGCTGAGGTCGAGCTGGCGCAGGCTGGGCAGATGCGCGAAGGCGCCCGCATGCACCTCCTCCAGGCGGCTGCCGCTGAGGTTGAGCGCGGCCAGCTCGGCCAGCGGCGGCAGGCGGGCGAAGGCGCCGGCAGGGAGCACGGCCAGCTGGTTGCCCGTAAGGAAGAGGTTGCGCACGTAGGGGGGCAGGTCCGTGGGCACCTCGGTCAGATTGCGGTTAACGCACTTGACTGTGCGCGCCGCCTCGGAGCACTCGCACAGCGCGGGGCACTGGCCGGGCAGCAGGGGCTGAGCGGACACGGCGGAAGCCAGGAACGGCGCCGAGGAGGAGGAGGACGATGCTGAGGAGGTGGGAGAAGACGAGGAGACCCAGCCCAGCAGGACCAGTGCCAGTCGCGCCAACCGCAGCCGCCTGTCTCCGGCGGCGGGGCCCCGGGAACACCCTCCCGGCATCGCGGCTCGCGTTTCCGAGGAGCTGGGCTGGGACGGCGCCCGCCCCGAAGTCGGAGACTGGGCCGGGAGAGCGCGAGCTGGCGGAAACGACAGGAGAAAACTTTCCTCTCGTGGGAGCGAGGGAGGGGCGCCGCGGCCGGAACTTGGCTAACCCCCTCGCCACCGGGCGCTCCCCTCCGGGCCGGTTCCCCCGCCCCCTCCCTCAAGAAAGTACGCACGGCGGTGGGTCGGGACACTCGGCTGCGCGCTCCTGCTCCCGCACCTCTTCCTGCCGCTGCCCCGGTGGCACTTCCTCGCCTCTCGTTGGCGCCCCTCGCTGGATCCTCTAAGGGACCTGGGACAAGCAGGAGAGGCGTGAAGCGACTTCCGGAGTACAAAAACCGGCTTTTTCGAGTCTGGTCGCCTCCACTCTGTCCCAGAGACCTTCCTCAGAAAGCCCGCCCCGGCCTCGCCTCCCCAACCCTTCCAGTCACCCTTACCCGGGAGGGGGACGCGCGTCCGACACCCAGAGCGCAAAGTCTTCCTTCTCCCCTGGCCCACACTCAATAAACCTATCCGGCCTCCCGCCTTTCCCGAGAAAACTCGTCTCCCGCGTCTAACTTCCCACTTAATCCCCAGTTCCTTCCCTACCAAACTTCTCCCTCTCCCGGTTCCTTCCCGCACCGCCTCCGCGGAAGGTCGGCCTCCGGGAGTCTCCGCCCCCGCCCAGACCTCTCCTCCCGGTCCCGGTTAGCAAGCGAGGGAAGTTTCAGGTTACAGGAGTTTTTGATGTCTTTTTGTACCTTCTAGCATTAGCAGGAAGTGGAGGGCTCTACAGCTGTCGCCCCCCCCCCACCCCCCCAGCTAGCGCCCCCGCCAGCCCCTCGGATCCGAAAGGGTTCAAATCATCTCCAAAGAGGAGAGAACCGTCTGGGAACAAAGCAGCAATGGGACTTGGGGTAGGGAGGCAACGCGAACCAACGCTATTCTCCACCCGAGGATGGGGAGGGCCCCAGCGACGCCTCCCGGGTCTCTCCCAGGCCGCGGGGTACGACCGCTCACCTCCGCGCCGCCGCCTCCAGAGCCAACTCCGAGTTCCACCAGAGTCGCGACGACTTCCCGGCTCCGCGCTACGGGCGCAGATTCTCCTCGCACCGCAGCCCCTGGCCCAGCCTCCCAACCTCCGCAGCTGGGAAAAACCAACCGGGGGGCGGGGGAGGGCCAGGACTGTCGGGGGACTCTTGCCGCGCGGCCAACCTCGGCTGCCGTAGGTAGAGGGATTTAAGAAGAGAGACTAGGGGAACTGGGCTGCGCGCCTCCTCCTGGTGGAAATTAACGAGGAATGTGCCGGAAAAGGTGAGGGAATCCCTTTCTCTCCCCCCTCCCTGACATCCTTGGGTGGTTCCTCATTTTGCATATTGTATTTACCTTGGACTGGAGCAAAACCGCTGGTGAATCTCGTGGAATTCACCTTGATTCGGGCACCTTTGGCAGTGACGAGATAGATTTAGGCAGGACAGAGAAGCGCGAAGCAGCAGCAGAAAGAAATGAGCTGAAAATCTACAGCGGCGGCAGCAGCAAACGCACAGCAGGTTGTATGGAAGCTTCAGAAACTTTCTTTCAAAGTGGTACCTGAGGCCGCAAACTTCAGATTTAGGTGTAATTAATGCCTTCCCGCCTGTCCCGCCCCCTCACTTCTTGGGTAGTGATGGGACTTGTGAAGAGAGCGCGCCAACTTTGAGAGACAGAGAGATTAGTGGAGAGGAGATTCATTCCTGATTCATTAGCTTTTCTCCTACCAAAATTAAAAGCAGATGGAAGAGAAAGCGGCCAAAGCATCCTAGAAACAAAAGGCAAATAGCAAAGACTTGAGTCACCCGGAAAGCGGACCCGCCCCCCACCACTCCCCAGATGTAGCTCGGTTAAAATCACTTTAACCCGGGAAGCTCCAAAGGTGGGGAGTGGGAGTTGCGGGAGCTGACCTGAGGGAGAAGTTTGGTTCCGAAGTCGCTTGTCCCAGGGGACATCTGGCAGGTGGTGATGGAGAGGATGGAGTTGGGGAGAGGATGGGGTTGGGGAAAGGGACAGATTGAATGACTGATTACCAGAAGGATCTGTTATTATACCAGACAGGTGTTGGGTTCCGAAAGCCCTGTCGTTGCTCTCTGTAACTACGTAGCCCCTTTGTCCCAATTAAATAATTTCCCCGAAAGGATAAGAAGGTGCTGGTTATTCCAGGCTTCTTCATTTTAGAGAGAAAAATGGCAATTAGGGAAAACATGGTTTGGAAATTTAAAACCTGGTCATATAAAAAGGATCAAATAAGGATGCTGAAGCTTGTGTCTGGGACGTGTGCCTTTACTGTGAAGATGGACCCCAGCTCCCCAGTGGATGCTCAATTACTTTTATAGAAAGGGATAGTCTGCAAAGCTGACAGCAAAAATGGCTCAGACAACAGCTGAAAGAAATGGAAACTGCAGAGATTTGTGCAAAAACGCCAGTTTCATTAATTTGCATCTTCAGCACGTTTATCTAAATCCCTTTTCTTATTTTTAAAAGTGTTTTGCAACATGAATGTAAAACACTTTGAAAAAGAATTTCTAAAGATGTAGTCATGTTCTGTATCCGGATTGCGGTGGTGGTTACATAAACCCATACAATGTGTTAAAAATCGTAGAACTTTGTACACCAAAAGAGTCAACTTTACTGTAGATAAGTTTAAAAATAAAATTAATTACTCATTGGATAAAACCTGTAATAATGCTCAGACACGATACGAACTCTGGTCCTGATCTGAAGATCAACTGCTTTTTAGGAGAGTGAGAAACACTTTAGAATTTAGAAATATATATTCTCATCTGATCCTCAAAACAACTCAGAGGCAAAGTAAATATTGTTAGTATTATTGCTTGTTGCTATCATTTTTCTTGTTCTGTTTTACAAACGAAAAAACTGGGGCTTTAAGTTAGCTTGACTGAGTGTCTTCCACTTGCCAAATCTGTGCTGATCACTTCACAGATATCTCATTGACTCTTCACATCAGTACTGAGGTTAGGTCCTCTCACTCCAGTTTTACAGACAAGAAAATTGATGCAAAAGTAAATTACGTAACTTGTTCAAATGAGTGATGGAGGTGGGAACCAGGCCCAGATTTGCCTGCCTCCCATATAGTGCATCCCACATTCTGCCTTTAGGCAAGATTAAGGAGCTTGTGCAAAGTTCTACTCTGTTCCACTCTGTTCTACTTAGGCGGAACGTAAACCTCACCTCTTGTTCTCTTTTTACTTCTTCCCCCTCCACCTTCCTGCAGCTGACATTTGCTTATGGCTGCTGAATAGGGACCCAGAAACTCAGGGTCATTTCTAGCTCTGATACTTGCTTACTGTGTGTCTTCAGTATACTTCTGTTTCTTATTCTGTAAAATAGGACCACTAATGGAATTTGAAAGTATTTCCATGAGAATTTAGATAAATATGTAACATACTTAGCGAAATCACGTGTTTTGATTGTTCTTTTCTAAATTACTCCCCCTCATGCTGTTTATTGTAATCCACTATATCTCTGTAATTATGTTAGTAATAGGAGTACAAGGATGAATAATTTAAAGTCTCTTTAAGGTAGAGTTGCCAGATTTAACAAATAAAAATACAGGGCACTCAAATTTTAATTTCAGATAAACAATGAATACTTTTGACTATAACTGTCCCACGCAATATTTGGGAAGTGCAAAATTTTGTTGCTTAGAATTGAAATTCAACTTTAATTGAGTATCCTGTATTTGATCTGGCATTACAGCAGTTGATAATCTGGTAGAAGAAAGAGACACTGAAACAAAAGCTCTCAATGTAGAAGTAAGTATGGTTTGGTGTGGTATCTTTCCCGGCAGTCCCCTCTCTCTTTGTATATATTTTACCTCTATTTTTGCTATTATTTTATGTGAATGGGATGATAGTATATGAATTATTCACAATCGTTTTTAAAAACAACTGTCTATGTCCATACGTATAGGTATGCTTCTCGTTTTTTAAAGACTGAAATATTTCAAACTGTGGATTGTTGTACCACAATTATTTTAATAGCCCTGTTGAAAGACGTTTAGATCAGTAACTACTCTTTAAAGAAATTTCCTTCAAGTGAGAAAAGCTTACTAGGATCAGTTCTATTTTGATTGTCTTAAGCATTTAATTATCCCAAATTATCATACTTATTTTACTCCTGACAGCTTGAAAATTTTTTGTGCATGATGCTATTTACATACTCTAAGGCAGGGCAGAGGATTGCAGAGCACATTTTTACCAATGTATTCTTCTATTCCAAAGTGAAATAAAGGAAGGATCTGAATGTTCCAACAGATAAGAACTAATTTAGTATATTTCAAGAGGTCACTTTGTAGGCTCCAGGAAATGTTTCTATACTATCATTTACTTAGAAGATTGTTTCTATAGGAACCATTTTTTTTCCTAATGATGCAAAGGATCACATCTTAGAAAAGATTAGTAAATTATTGAAATATTGCTTCTAAATCCTGATTAGGCAACGAATAAGATAGGTATAAAAAGAATGATGAGTGATTATGACCACCCTCATGATAACTAACAGAGAGAAGCTGTGTAGTTCAGCATGGATAAATACCAAGATTGTTTAAGACTAGTTTATTTTGATCTCTGCCTCAAATTAGCAAAGGAATTGATACAAGTGCCTACTGTCAAATCTGAAAAGTAACTAAAACAAAGTCAAGTGCTGGTGAGCAATGAGCACAAATGTCAGAAACCATGAAGCAACACTTAAAACTAAAGCCATCAATGTGAGGGTCAATTTGACAAAAAGAAAAAAATTATACATGTATATATATGTATATACATGAAGAAATATTTTTTTTAATTGTGAATGATTAAAAAGAAAACGTCAAATCATTTTAGAAAGAATGGGCTTCTTTTCTGAGATGTGTACACTAAATTAAGTAAAATATAAACTTGAGAATGGGTCAAAAGGAATGTATTTGTGTCATCAGTCAGTACAATAAGTGCTGAGGCTAGTAAAAGAAAAATATAATGATGTTTCAAAATTCATTGGAGATTAAATAAATATTAAAGAAAGAGCAAGCTAAAAGGCTGTGATAGACTGCAGAAAATAAACTGACTAGAAATACATGATTTTTCGAGGATAAGGAAATGTTGAAAGGTAAATGAAAACAATTACAGTCAGCCCTCTATGTTTGTGGGTTCCATGTCTCTGGATTCAACCAACCACAGATGACAAATATTCAAACAAAAAAAAAATGGACGGTTACATCTGTATCAAACATGTACAGACTTTTAAAATAATTATCATTATCTCCTAAGCAATTCAGCAGGTGCGGTGGTTTACACCTGTAATCCCAGTACTGTTGGAGGCCGAGGCGGGCAAATCACTTGAGGTCAAGAGTTTGAGACCACTCTGGCCAACATGGTGAAATCCCATCTGTACTAAAAATATGAAAATTAGCCAAGTGTGGTGGTGCATGCTTGTAATCCCAGCTAATTGGGATGTTGCAGCAGGAGAATCGCTTAAACCTGGGAGTCAGAGGTTGCAGTGAGCTGAGATTGCGCCACTGCACTCCAGACTGGGTGACAAAGCAAGACTCCATCTCAAAAAAACAAAACAAATAAAAAAAAAGACAACAACAACAACAAAAAAACCCTGCATAACTATTTACATAGCATTTACATTGTATTAGGTATTATAAGCAAACGAGAGATGATTTAAAGTATATAGGAGGATGTGCATAGGTTATATGCAAATACTATGCCATGTAACCTAAGGAATTTGAGTATCCATGGATTTTGGTATCCACAGGGATTCTGGAAGCAACCCCCTGAGGATAACAAGGGATGATTACATATAGTAATATGCAGACTCTCCAAAGAGTCACCCTTACAGGATCACTCAACTTTAATTCAATAAATGCTTTTTTAAGACCCCACTGTATACTGTCCACCTATTTGATGCACTTGAAATACAAAGATAGATAGAATAAAAATCCCTACCCTTAGATAACTCACAGTCTAATGGGAAAGCAAATGGTTACAAAACGTATGGTAAGTGCAAATATGTAATGGAGTGGGGAGACTGTCAGAAGGTTTTACTAGGGTAGAAATGCCGGAGTTGCATTTTGAAGCACAATCAGCCTGTATCCTCAGCTTCTGTCCCATGTATTCAACCAGCTGGGGATTGAAAATAAACAGTAAAAAATAACACTACAACAATAAAAAATAATACAAATGAAAAATATAGTAAAACAACTATTTAAAAAACATTTACATTATATTAGGTATTATAAATAATCTAGAGATGATTTGAAGTCTGGGAGGATGCATGTAGGTTATAAACAAATACTATGCCATTTTATATCAGAGACTTTAGCATCTGTGGGGTTTGGTATCCACAGGGGTCCTGAAACCAATCCCCATGCTTACTGAAGGAAGTCTGTGTTAGTAAGAGCTTGCCAGACAAAAGATCAGCAAGTTGGTGAAAAACCCCAGAGAATTTGTTCGCTTCTAGAGACTACACAGGGCGGAGCACAGGACACATTGAGACATTGGAGGGAATGGTACAAGGTGAGATTTGAAATACAGTGGGATCAGATTACTGACCTCCAGTCTAAAAGATTTGTATTATCCCAGCCAGGCATGGTGGCTCACACCTGTAATCCCAGCACTTTGGGAGGCTGAGGTGGGTGGATTACTCGAGGTCAGGAGTTTGAGACCAGCCTGGCCAACATGGTGAAACCCTGTCTCTACTAAAAACATAAAAATTAGCCGGGCGTGATGGCAGGCACCTGTAATCGCAGCTACTTGGGAGGCTGAGGCAGGAGAATCACCTGAGCCCAGGAGACAGAGTTTGCAGTGAGCCGAGATCATGCCATTGCACTCTAGCCTGGGCAGCAAGGACAAAACTCCGTCTCAAAAAACTAAAAGGTTTGCA